ACTCAGGGGCCGCAGAAAGAGACTGATATAGACCAATTTTTAAGAACAAATGGATTACAAGAACTATCTAAAGAAAATAAGACAATATTGAATCTTAAGATAACGGAACAGAAGATTGAAGGTGCCATTCAGAACATGCAATTGGGCAAATCTCCAGGGCCGGATGGGTTAACCTCCAAATATTATAAGACTTTGAAAGACTATCTAATTCAACCATTAAAGGAGGTGTGTAACGAGATTATGGATGGGAAGAAGGCACCGGAGTCGTGGAAAGAAGCTTTCATCACCCTTATACCAAAATCGGAAGCTGAAAAGACACAACTTAAGAACTACCGTCCCATTTCCCTTTTAAATGTGGATTACAAAATTTTTGCAGATATTTTAGCTAGCAGATTAAAAAGAGTGTTAAATGAAGTGATACACAAAGATCAGGCAGGCTTTCTCCCAGGCAGACATCTGTCTGATAATACAAGGAACATTATTGATATTCTGGAGCTATTACAAACGAACATCAATACAAGAGCAGTTTTGATTTTTATTGATGTGGAGAAGGCCTTTGACAACATCTCTTGGAATTTTATGAAGAAAAATCTTAAGGGAATGGGAGTGGGACGGGGGTTTGAAAATGGTATAGATGCAATCTATTCAGAACAAAAGGCAAAATTGATAGTTAATAATGTGGTGTCAGAAGAGTTTAAAATTGAAAAAGGTACACGACAGGGTTGCCCTATCTCTCCATTGCTATTCATTTCGGTCCTGGAGGTGCTCTTGAACATGATTAGGAGGGACCGGTTGATTAAAGGAATTCAGGTCGGAGCTAAACAATATAAACTAAAGGCTTTCGCAGATGCCGGAATCTAGTACGAAAAGAGTTTTAGAACTGATTCAAGAATTTGGTCAGGTGGCAGGATTTAAATTAAATAAGCAGAAAACTAAGGTTTTGGAGAAAAATTTGACAACAATGGAAAAAGAAAGGTTTCAGAAGGAGACAGATTTAAATGTGGTGAAGAAAGTGCAATACCTAGGGATAAATATGACGGCCAAAAATTTGAATCTATTTAAAGATAATTACGAGAAATGTTGGTCAGGGGTTAAAAAAGATTTAGAAATTTGGTCAAAATTGAAGCTTTCCTTGTTGGGTCGAATTGCTGCTATAAAGATGAATGTATTGCCAAAAATGTTATTTTTGTTTCAAACTCTGCAGATTGTTGACAGGATGGACTGTTTCAGGGGGGGGGGCAGAGAGACATTTCTAAATTTGTCTGGCAGGGCAAAAAGCCCAGAATAAAATTTAAAATACTGACTGATGCTAAAGAAAGAGGGGGGTTTGCTCTGCCAGGCATGAAGTTGTACTATGAATCAGCAGCATTTTGCTGGCTGAAAGATTGGCTACTTCTTGAGAACACTGACATTTTGGATTTGGAAGGGTTTAATAATGCGTTTGGGTGGCATGCATATTTGTGGTACGACAAGGTTAAAGCTCATAAAACATTCAAGAACCATATTGTCAGGAAAGCAGTGTTTAATGTCTGGATAAAATATAAAGATCTACTAGAAAACAAGACCCCAAGGTGGTTGTCACCTATGGAAGCTAAGGCTCTGAAAAAACTCAATATGGAGGCCAAATGGCCGAAATATTGGGAGATAGTAGAACAAGATGGAGACATATTGAGATTGCAGAGTTTTGAGAAATTAAAAGATAAAGTGTGAGACTGGCTACATTACTATCAAATTAGAGAAGTTTTTAATATGGACAAGAAAGTAGGCTTCAGGTGGAAAAATCGAAACTAGAAACAGAACTGTTAGAACCTAAAACTAAGGTACTTTCGAGAATGTATAACTTGCTGTTAAAATGGAACACTCAGGATGAAACGGTCAAATCAGCTATGATTAAATGGGCGCAAGACATTGGTCATAATATCATGTTTGCTGACTGGGAACGGTTATGGACCACCGGTGTGAAGTTTACGGGATGTAATGCCTTAAAAAAAAATATTATGAAAATGATATATAGGTGGTACATGACCCCAGTCAAGCTTGCAAAAGTATATCATTTGCCTGATAATAAATGTTGGAAATGTAAGGAAACTGAGGGAACATTCTTTCACCTTTGGTGGACGTGCCCAAAGGTTAAGGCCTTCTGGGAAATGATCTATAATGAACTAAAAAAGGTATTTAAATATACCTTCCTTAAGAAACCAGAGGCCTTCCTTTTGGGCATTGTCGGCCAAATGGTGTTAAAGAAGGACAGAACTTTCTTTATGTATGCGACAATAGCAGCAAGAATACTCATCGCAAAGTACTGGAAGACACAAGATTTACCCACTCTGGAAGAATGGCAGATGCAGGTGATAGACTACATGGAATTGGCAGAAATGACTGGCAGAATCCGAGACCTGGGAGAAGAGTTAGTGGAAGAGGACTGGAAGAAGTTTAAAGACTACTTGCAAAAACATTGTAAAATGTTGGAATGTTAAAATGTTAAAATGTTGGAATGCTAAAATGATGCAAGATATAAAGACAATGTGGCATCAGTGACATAGGTAAAAGGAGTATGTAACAAATGTTTCAAAAGACAAGGGTGAAAAAACTAGATTACATTGTCAAATGTAAACAAAAGGATATAAAGGGAAGAATTGGCGACACAATGGGTTAAAATCTATAATATAGATCAAGATTTGAAAGAGGGTAAGATATTTGCTGAACATGGTTGTGTAAAAAGGAACACAAAAAAGGGAGATGTGAGGAAGTCAGGAAGAAGGGTTATGAAAACAACAAGTAAAAAATTGGATTTTTATGTCTTTTTTATGTTTCTTTTCTTTTTCTTTATTTCCTATCTTTTTATGTTTTTTACTGTATTTTTTGTTTTGTTTGTGATGATGATGTTTCTTTTTAGGTTTGATTGGAAAGTTTGTTTTACTGTTTAAAATTTCAATAAATATCTTTTTTTTTAAAAAAAATAAACCTTCACTGCCTCTTGAGTTATCATCAGGAGAAGTAAAAGCTGTGGAGGAAAACCTACACAAATCCAGAGTGGACTCTCTAAGAGGGTTGGATGGTGTCCTGCACACCTCCTTCCAGCAACTCCTGCAGCCAAGCTGGTGCCAAAAGTACTGCTCTGCTTTCCTTGGGACCATATAAGCCAGGCTGAGAAGGGGGTCTTGTTGTCTAGGCAGCCCTGAACCCCCAAACACACTGTCCAGGCTCACAGTGCTGCTAACACAGCAGTTTCAGGCCGAGAAATGAGCTCAGACCTATGTATCAAAGTCTCTCCAATGTGAAACAAGGAAAACAGAAGCGCTATTTACATCATATGTCACTGTAAAGGTATTCAAAATTTTTGTCTTTTGAAGAAAAGACCACCAATTATCCAATGGCCCCTTCAAAGCTAATGAACGTCTTGTGCCTGGAGCTTTTGGGGGTGAAGGACCAGCTTCTGCCACCATTATCCTTCCAATTGGGATTCGGGCCTCATCATGGGACTGAAATTGCCCTGGTTGTGCTGTTTCCTGGTTCTGCTGGATCTCTCAGTGGCTTTGGAGACCTTTGACCATGGTATCCTTCTGGACCCTCTAGGGGAGCTGGGGGCCCTGCTATGCAGTGGTTCCCCTCCTTCCTCCTGGGCCATGTCCAAAAAGTGGTGTTGGGGGATGAGTGTTCTGACCCCTAGATGCTCACTTGTGGGGTGCCTCAGGGCTCCGTCCTCTCCCCCATGCTTTTTAATGTCTATATGAAGACGCTGGGAGAGATCATCAGGGGTTTGCGCTGGGTGTTCCCCAGTATGTGGATGATACCCAGCTCTTCTTCTCTTTTAAATTGGAACCAGTGAAGGTCCTGTGTGAGTGTCTGGAAGCAGTTGGAGGATGGATGGCGGCTAACAGACTGAGGTTGAATTTTGACAAGACAGAAGTACTGTTTTTGGGGGACAGGGGGCAGGCAGGTGTGGGGGACTCCCTGGTCCTGAATGGGGTAACTGTGGCCCTGAAGGACCAGGTGCACAGCCAGGGCGTCATTTTGGACTCACAGCTGTCCATGGAGGTACAGGTCAGTTCTGTGTCCAGGGCAGCTGTCAGCCAGCTCCATCTGGTACGCAGGATGAGACCCTACCAGCCTGCCGACTATTTCACCAGAGTGGTGCATGCTCTGGTGATCTGCCACTTGGATTATTGCCATGTGATACATGAGGCTACCTTTGGAGGTGACTCGTAAACTGCAACTAATCCAGAATGTGTTAGCTAGACAACAGAATGGGAGCAGCAGCTGAGACAACATAACACCTGTCTGAAAGGATCTTCACTGACTCCAAGTACGTTTCTGAGCACAATTCACAATGTTGGTGCTGACCATTAAATTGCCGTGGTTACATTTTTCAGGCACAGAATCCTGTTATGCCTTCAGACACAAATTTATTTGCTGAAGGAATTTTTTGCTGTCTCTGAGCGTTTTTTCCTGCTCTGCTAATTGTATGTCGGAATTGCTCTGGAGATCATTGCGGAGGAGCAAAATCTGCAATCTAAGGCCCTAAACAGCCTCGGGTATGTAGACCTGAAGGAACGTCTCCACCCCCATCGCTCAGTCTGTATGCTGAGGTCCTCCTTCGAGGGTCTTCTGCTGGTTCACCCCCCCCCCCAATTGAGAAGCGAAGTTACAGGGAAGCAGGCAGAGGGCAAGGAAATGGGCAACTATCTGACATTTATAAGACAGCTGAAAGCAGCCCTGTATTGGGAGGTTTTTAATGTTTGATGTTTTACTGTCTTTTATATGTACTGTAAGCTGCCCAGAGTGTCTGGGGAAACCCAGCCAGATAGGCAGCGTGGAAATACTACAATCATTCTTATTATATTGTGATTCTTTTGTAGTTATTTTTGAATTCGTTCTGCAATATCAGCTCACGAAATGTTATGAGGAGAGAAAATCACAAGGATGCCATAAACTGTAATCCCACCCACAACTTCTCATTCACATACAGTCTATGAATTTGAGAAGGTCACACACCTCACCTGTGCTAATACTGGCCTGTATAGGCACACCTTGCATGTAGAGCCTCCAGCCACAGGCACTGTATAGCATGAAAATGGGTCCTTTGACTGGGAAGATTCCTGCAATTGCTATCATCAGATGCTGAAGGATTGTATCTCAGCTTGTCAATCACTCTGACACTGCCTACCAAAAATAAGAGGAACAGAAATGCTTTTGAGGTGCAACTTCTATACCAATCCTGAGAGCCATTTCATGGACTCTGCACCCCTGTTTCTGATGACAGGTGTACATTATCCTCATCCTCAATGAGCCAGGCAGTGGAAAAGACAAAGATGGCAGGCTGAGAGAGAGGAAGAGGATTCTAGCTGCTTCCTGGGTGGGATTGCGGAAACAAAGCGCCGGTTCTCAGAAGGCCTTTCCCCCTGTGGCGTAGCGTGGGTTGTCAGCACCCGGGGCAAGGCAAGCAATTTGCGCCCCCTAACCCGTGGATTTGCGCCCCCTAACCCTAACCCCCAGATGTTGCGCCCGGTGCGGCCGGCCCCCCCTGCACCCGCCACGCTACGCCACTGCTTTCCCCTCCTCTCTTCTCCTCAGGATTTGAACCACTCTGTCTGGGCGGGGCAGGGGCTTATGTGGGCGTGAAGAGGATGGAGCTTGCAGGAAGGAAGGGGTAGGTGGACTGGACCCCTCCCCCACTTTCCAGGGATCCCTCTCTGGTAGCCTTGAAGGGGTGGCCGATTCTTGGGTGGGAGGGAGAAGCCAAGGAGGCCCCTCTGGAGATTCCCGGTGGGTGCCACGATGGAGACCTCTCCCCAAGGACTGGTCTTCCAGTATCTCTGTATCTCTCTCACTCACTCTCTCCCATTGCTGCCCTTCCCTGCCCCAGGGATGCTCCCCCCCCCGACTTCCTCGACCCCCTCCCTCTTTCCCGGAGTCTCCCCTGCACCCAGAGGCCGCCTTCGCGCCCCCCTCTCCATCCAGAGGACAACCCCCCCCCACACACACGAGCCACACGGGGGTCTCTATCCAGGCGTCCCTCGCGCCCGTTAACCCTTTCATGACCCGCCTTTCTCCGTGCAGATCCCACAGCGACCCAGGGATCCCTGCGTGGGGGAAACGGGGCAAAGGGGCCCCCGTGGGGACTCCCTCCGTTGGCGCCCCATGTCCGCCACTGCCAAGGCGCAGCAGGCGTGCAGGGATCTAGGCCATGCCGACGCGACCCACGAACGGCGCTCTGGGGAGCTGGCGGGGGTCTCTGGGTACTTCTCTCCCCCCCCCCGCGACCCCTTTACCTCTTTGTCCTCGCTCCAGATTCTCCTTTCCTGCAACATCCACGTGGGGGGGGGTGTCCTCCCCTGCCGCCCCTCCTCCCCTTTCCGAAAGCGCGCGCCCCTAGAGCTACGGAGCAGAGCAGCAATCCGGCGCAGAAGAGCCACTTGCGGGAGAAGCAGGCAGTTTTTTTGGGGGGGGCTCATCCCCCCCCATTCCCGGAAGAGAGGTCGGATGGCGAGGAGGAGGAGCAACATATTGGGGAGGGGATTTGGGGTTGGGGGGGCGGGGTGGGAGAAGGATGTGCCGGGAAGGGAGGGGGGATCCCTGCGTGGGGGAAACGGGGCAAGGGGTCCTCGTGGGGACCCCCTAGGTGGGGGCCCCATGTCCGCCGCTGCCAAGGCGCCTAAGGAAAGCCCCCTTCGCAGCACTCCTGCAGGGATCCAGCCCATGCCTATGGGACATGGGACCCGCGAAAGGCGCTTTGGGGAGGTGGCGGGGGTCTCTGGGTACTTCTCTCCCCTCCCCCGCGACCCCTTTACCTCTTTCTCCTCGCTCCAGATTCTGCAATTTCCAGGGGGGGGGGGTGTCCTCCCCTGCCGCCCCTCCTCCCCTTTCCGAAAGCGCGCGCCCCTAGAGCTACGGCGCAGAGCAGCAATCCGGCACAGAAGCTCCACTTCCGGGAGAAGCAGGCAGGTTGGGAGGTGGACTCACCCCCACCCCTCCATTCCCGGATTCCGAGGAGGAGGAGGAAGAGGTGCAACATATGGGACCAATCTGAGGTTGTGAGGGCGTGGTGCGACAATGATGTACCGGAAAGGGAGGAATTTAGTGGGGGGGGGGGAGGAAGGTTTTTCCCCTCCCCTCTTCCTAGTGGATCAGGAGAGAAGGGAGGGGCTGATCCCGGCAATCCACTTGCAAAGTGGGGTCCCCCCACCCCACAATCTAAATGTTACGGGAAATTACGGGGAGGGGCACATCTTTAAAGTTAAATATTATAAATATTATACCTGAATGTATCCTTTCAACGTGACAGCTCAGGGAAGTTACCTAGCTTTAAAAATAATATAAAATCATCTCCTTTCCCAGTTTCCTCCATTCCAAAGCTATTTTCCCCTTGCAAAAGGACTCCAGGAAGTTCCCAGAGGTGGCAATTGAAGGGCTCATTGTTAGCCAGAGGAAGCCCAATCTCATCACCTGACTCGCCTCGGGCTCCAGACATGCAAAGGAAGTTCTATTGGACTTTTGGGTGGTGGGTACTTAAGACATATTTGTCTATGCCAGTGTTTCCCAACCACTGTTCTGCGGCACACTAGTGCCACTGTTTCCCAACCGGTGTTCCGCGGCACACTAGTGTGCCGTGAGACGTCGGCTGGTGTGCCGTGGGAGGGAGGCGGGCGAGTCGGGCGGTGAGAGGCGGCGGCGGCGAGGATCCGCGTCGAGCCGGGGGCGGCTCCGCAGTGGTGGTGCCGAGCGGCGGGGTAGCGCATGCAAAAGGGAGGATCGCGAGACA